TACTGTTTAATATACTGTTGTACTGTTTAATATACTGTTGTACTGTTTATTATACTGTAATACACTGTTTATTATACTGTAATATACTGTTTAATATACTGTAATATACTGTAATACACTGTTTAATATACTGTAATATACTGTTTAATATACTGTAATATGCTGTTTAATATACCACGATATATTGTTTAATATACCTTAATATACGGTTTAATACACCGTAATATACTTTTTAATATACTGTTTAATACACCGTAATATACTTTTTAATATACTGTTTAATACACCGTAATATACCGTTTATTGTACTGTATTAATGTAATTACTGTATTTTACATTATTAGTGTTTAGCATATATCTTGATGCATTAGTTTAATGTATATGTTAGATCCTTATATACTGTTTCTTTTTGTACTTTATACTTCGGCTATTTTTGGGTGTAACTGGGACCTTGAGTGCACAATTTCGTTCCACCTCATGTACCACATGTGATGCGTATGACAATAAAGAAGCTTGAACTTGAACAAATTTCAATAGTCACATCCAGAAGATTCAGAGAAATTTAGATCTATTCAGAGAGTGGGTGGAAAACTAAATGCACAAAATGTTTTGCAAACAGATTTATACTTTTAGTTACAATACGGTAATTATAACAAACTTATTAAACAAGATCTTTACAACTAATGGAATCTGCTCTTTTCACATATCGCAAACGACTATACACTTCATGATGGGAAATGTAAATCCACAATGAATGCATCAGTTTCTGCATGGTTTTGGAGTCTGCACGCACAAAACTGCTGAAGCTTCATAAGTGATTCTGAAAATAACTGGATCACACTTGTGCAAAACACACCTCCTTATCTGGCATTTAAATCCCTAATAAAAACAAAAATACCTACGTTACATTAAATCAACAAAACCAGCACTTTATCAATAAATATTCAGGAGACTGACGTATAAACTGAACATTTTGAATGCCTAACTAAAGCTACTGTACTGAAATAAACCTAGTTTTGAAAAGTTGATTAGTTCACTACTTATCTTGGTAGAAATCAGCTAAAAGTGCTTCAAATTGAGAGGAAACGTTAATAAATGTTGCATTTTTTATTCAAGAAGAGATATTCGCAGTTAGTATTTTTGTCAGTTTACTCACAATATATTCATTATGTCATAAGTGTACAAGTGTGTTCAAAAATGTGTTTCCCACATTCAATATGTGGCCCCTACGTCATTATGTCCCTTTCAAAACAAAATGTTGCCCACTCATGAGACCGTAACAGTCTTTGACAATAGGAGGCTATAATGTGCTTGTTTGTCGACCGTCTATTCAAAAATAAACAGCACTCCCACATTCCTCCTTCTGTTTGGCCCAGTTTGGGTGCACTTGTAGTCTCTGAGTGATGAGGTGTGGAAATAACCTCCTCACACCGTCTGTTGTGTGTTTTTATATTAGCATCATTATAATGTACGCTCTGTCAGGTCAAACAGCTGGTGTTGTTATAAAACTCAGTGCTGCACGTGGTTGGTCATACAGGGACCTGACTGACTAAATGTAAACCACACAAGCCTCATGGTTAGTCCAATTTTTAGGAAGTAAGTGAGAAATATCCACAAAAAATGACCGTGGGAATGATACCAGTCCAAATGTCTGTAAGGAGATGGAGCACTTTACAGGCATGGTTACACATCATAACAAATGTCCAAAACTAAAAAAGTTTCAGTAAAAATCCTTCCAGCTGCACAGCATCTGATACCAGAGGAAACAATCATCTGAAAAATTGTGATTTACATCCAGCAAAAGAGGAACCAAAGTCTCCAAAAGCAAAATCCCAGAATGAAAGTAACAGAGCTGCTCCAACATGCAACCACCTCGAGCGGCGCAATTCTAGAAATCTATATACAGGTCCTTCTCAAAAAATTAGCATATTGTGATAAAGGTCATTATTTTCCATAATGTAATGATAAAAATGAAACTTTCGTTTCATCCTGAGGTGCCTTGATACAGCACTCTGGGAACAGCCTATTCGTTCAGCAATTTCTTTCTGTGTCTTACCCTCTTGCTTGAGGGTGTCAATGATGGCCTTCTGGACAGCAGTCAGGTCGGCAGTCTTACCCATGATTGTGGTTTTGAGTAATGAACAAGGCTGGGAGTTTTTAAAAGCCTCAGGAATCTTTTGCAGGTGTTTAGAGTTACGTCGTTGATTCAGATGGTTAGGTAAATAGCTTGTTTAGAGAACCTTTTCATGATATGCTAATTTTTTGAGACAGGCATTTTGGGTTTTCATGAGCTGTATGCCATAATCATCAGTATTAAAACAATTAAAGACCTGAAATATTTCAGTTGGTGTGCAATGAATCTGAAATATATGAAAGTTTCACAACTTTTTCACATATCACCTCAGTGGGAAGTCTGTGGGAAGGGAAAAGTGTGGCAGAAAACGCTGCACAACGAGAAGAGGTGACCGGACCCTGAGGAGAATTGTGGAGAAGGGCCGATTCCAGACCTTGGGGGACCTGTGGAAGCAGTGGACTGAGTCTGGAGTAGAAACATCCAGAGCCACCGTGCACAGGCGTGTGCAGGAAATGGGCTACAGGTGCCGGTACAGGTATATATATATATATATATATATATATATATATATATATATATATATATAGTGTGTGTGGGGGGGGTCGTGTTTTAAACTCGCATTACAAAATGCAAATAACGTTGAGGGTTTAAAAACTTGTACAAAGGCACATTTCCTGCATTAGTGATTTTAAATTGTACTCGGTCTGTACAACAGCTGAGGTACAGAAAGCTGCTGCTCGTTTGGTTTGCTGCTCATCAAAATCTTCATGCGTTCCTTTTCAGGGGTTGTCTCTCCTCTCCCCAGACTCCTTAAAACGTTTAAGGAATACAGGCTGTTACTCCTGTCAGTGCTCTCTGCAGATGTAGCCTCACTGATTAAAATACAGTAGATAGAGAAGGTGCACTATCAAAGCCTGGTACTGGTATCAGACCAGCTGCAGATATGAAGCCTGTTGGGAACAGTGCAGAGGAGGGTTTCACATGGAAGCTCACACAAACACAAACTGGAGAAGACCTGTGTTTGTCTGGATTTGGCCGAGTGTCAAGGACCTGCCAGGCAGCTAAACTACAAGCACACTTTGGGTAAAACCACAGCACACCTGTGCATCTATGCAAACACACGTGCCCCACCGCTGCTCAAAGGCTCACTCACTCATTGTTACATTAAAACGACTAATGCGCTAACTTTTAGGTGAATGGTGAGCATGTGCCTGCTTATTTATTAGTGGTTTCATTCAAGTATAACCCAGCAACCAGAGGCTGAACATGCACCATTACCAACAAATTAAATCAGCCGTGATCAAATCATTTGTTTTCCTGTCTTCCATTAGGCTTTGAGTGACAGAAAACACAGTTTAGCTGTTGTCTTGATGAAGTTTGAGATGAAGTACAGAGTTTCTGTCCAGACAGGGAGAAGATCCGTCGAGACACTGGAAACTGTTGGCATAATCTCAAAGGCT